TAACTTTCAATAACCTTAAGCTCAACGCAACGAACTCCGATCTCAATTCAACTGCTAAACGCAGAGCAGCTTGTCGCTGGCTTTCATCACCGTTATACCTTCCTCCTTCCCATGTGGGTCTGAAAAAAATGATGAGCTACACTATAGGACAATACAGCATGGTATTCAGAATTTAACGGAAGCGAAGGAAGGTGATCATTGGCAATACCTGTAAGTGACGAGAGTGGGCAACGGACAGTGTTTGATCAGAGTTTGGAGATGGTGTGGAGGATTGAAGTTGTTCAAGAAATCTAAACGGAGCTCCACAAGATCAGCGCCGAGTTCTTCGGCCTTTCCCATCTGAATCAGCATTTCATCGACTGAGTCGCTCACTATGGGAGCACATACTAACGTCGAATTCCTGCTCACTTCACCCCCAATTTGAACATCCGAAGCAGCCAACTGTTAATAACACATACACATGTTACCAACTTTTCTACCCTCGACACGTCTAAAACACTTTTCCGGTTCTAAATATAAGACCATTTTATAGTGTAAATTACATTATAAAATAAGTTTTATATCTAGGACTGGGGTTATTTGCAGGACATCACATCTTTGCTAACCCAAAGCAGAGAGAGAGAGAGAGAGGTACCGAAAGGCTTCTTCCCATGGTGGCCGGAAGTGTTGGATGAATATGGCGATGCAAAATGTCGAAAAGGATTCAAGTGATGAGGACTCCCTAAATACAAAAACACTTTGATGTGTATATTTGTATCTTGCTTACTGCAATGTCTTAGAAAGTACGTTGGCTTTGATGGCTATTAATATTCCATCTAACAGCCTCTCCAGAGAATAGCCGTTGGCCTGCATCTACGCTAGACCCTCACTGCATTATGTATATCTTCCTGTGGTCTTTATACTCATTCATTCCTCCATTGATTAACATAGCAACACCACAAGGGACACTCACCTTTATAATATCTCATCCATTACAACAACTTACGTCATATTATATATATTCACAAGCGGACATGTACGTCTCAATCATATATTCATATACAAGAAGGTTAGGTGGCTGCTTGTGTGTGTGTGTGTGTGTCTTAATTTAAATTGAGAGCAAACATCTACGACCGCATCCAGAACATATAATTAGGTAGATTTTGTCGGGGAAAAGGCAAAGAAGTCGACAATTAGAGGGGCATCAGATGAAAATCTGCAGAATAAAAAGAAGGGAGAGATTATTATAGGTTTTCATTTGAACTGAGAATAAATAAGAAAAAAAAGTGAGAGAGAGAAAATGGGCTTGGTAAGGTTGAGCCAGTGACAAACAGAAGGTATGAGAATGTTAAGTAGTGTGGATGTCTGGTGAAGCCTTGATTGTTTGGTTCAGGTGGACTTGCTGGGTGTTTGTTCAGTGCTTGATGATATATATATATATATATATATATATAATGTACTGTGATGCGTGTGTGGGTTTGTGTGTGTGTGTGTATATATATATATTTTAAAGTAATGTGATGTTCTTTTTAGGCCTGTGCAATACTCCTCCGGTCCTAAATGTAAGACCCTTATACACTCTTGTATAAGGGTCTTACATTTAGGACTGTAGGAGTATGATGTTTGGTTATGATATGACAATGAATAAATATAAAAAAAATTCTATTTTAATATATTTGTTAGTTTTTTTTAAAAAAGTATTGAATAATACTCCCTCCGTTCCTTATTATAAGTGACAAATAACCGAAGTACGTTTGTCAAAAAAACAGTTAAAATTAGTTAAGAATAATTAATGTGTAAAAAGTATAATTTTTTTTCTAAAAATACCCTCATTAATAAGGAGAGAGAGCATGAGAGAGAACAATTAAATTATTAAAAGAAAGAGAAGTGGGAGGGAGAGAGAGTGTGAGTTGGAGATAATAAATATGGGTAAAATAGTAAATCAACACAAAAAAGTAGAGACAACTTGTAAGTGTCTCTTATATATAGGAACATGCCATAAGCATCAAATGTCTCTTATAATAAAGAACGGATGGAGTATTTATTAACAATTATTTCAAAATATAACGTTATATATTTAATACTTATTCTATCGTAGCTACAAAAATATGATATTGAAAAGAAATATCATAACTCTTGAAATCCAACATATGTTGACCCCTCTCTCACATGCTAACGTCAAAACTCAAAAAGGCAGTGCACATGCTGATATGGCATGGGGCTGGTCATTAAGGTTCCGTTTGAATAATGAGGAAGATTGAGAATTTGAAATGAAACAATATTAGTAGGAAAAAACAAAAGAGAAGGTTAAAAGCATGCGGGGGAAAAAATGAAGCTTCGACCTGCTAATTAGGGGTGTTCAAGGCCGGCCCATCCCGGTCCCGGTCTTATTGGGACGGGACGGGACAAACCGGGACGGGCCGGAACACGAGACAGAAAATTTGTCCCGTTACTATTTACCGGGACGGAACCGGAACAATTCGATCCCGGTCCCGATCCGTCCCGTGAACACCCCTACTGCTAATGGGGTAAAACGGCCACACATTAATTGGGTCAGTTACTAATCAAACTGAACAGCCAAAAATGGAGGGAAGGTGGGTAAGGTAAAGTTAGTTGTGGGGTCCATCACTTAAAACTCATTAAATTTTGTGAACTGGAAACCGTATCCCTCCTCTGACCTCGACGCTTGGATAGAGCAACAACATCGTTAGAACACAACGAAATCCAAAAATATCCGATATTATAATACTTCATTATAAAAATAATATATTTATTGCAGTTTATTCAAAAAACTGGTCACAAAAAACTAAAAATGTCCACTTAAGGTTTCAGTTAATGATAAGATATATACACGCATGATTCTTTTGGGGGGGGGGGGAGTTTCCGAAGTCCAACGACCTCAATAATTCTGTTCCCTAATTCTTCTTACACGTTAAATAAATCTAACTTCACGTTTTCTTAGGAAAAGGATAGTTTTTAATTCCCGATTTGCATCAACTTAATTACATAATTAATATTCCAATAGTTTTTTTAATAAAATAATCAATTTTGGAGTGGAGTTGACTTTGGTCAAAATATCTATTATTATCAAACATCACTATTACATAAACGACAAATCATTTATGCAGTAACGACGCGTCACTTCTAAAGATCTTAACTAAAGTTGATCACAATTTTAATTTTTAAAGAATAATCATTAATAAAAATTTGGAATGACCCTGACTCATGAGTCATGACCATAACTATAGGGACCAAATATTATGTTTTTTCCAGAATAATTTTCTAAAATTTTTCAGGGTTATTGAAATTAATTTTCTTAATTTAATGAATCTTTTGATAAAATTAAAATTAATGACAAGAAGTTTTTTAAAAGCTAAACTTTTGACTTGAAAATTATATTTTAAATGACTGAATTCTTATATATTCAACTTCTTGACAGTTTGGCCCAAAAAAAAAAAAGAACTTCTTAACGGTGAAGTCACCCTAGGCCTCTTGTGATGAAATAATGGCTTCTAGATAAAATCTTCTAATTTTTGTTCTCAATATTATGTTCCATAGCCGCATCCTCTAATTTATGTTCTTGTTATCATAGTAGTATACAGTAACCGCTCCATTTGTCTGTTTATAAAGTTAGCTCATGTATGAGTAGTTGCTGAGCTTCGCATAATATGGCCCCCAAAAAAAAAAAAAAGAAGCTTCGCATAAAATGATAACTCGGACTAAATTTTTCTCTTGCGTCTCAAACATCTTTTTCCATCTCTATTAGTCTTTTAGCTCTCAAAACCACCGACTATGTCGTCGTAGTTCAAGTGTTTATTTTTTTATTTTTTTTTGCGCTTGTTTTTCACAGACAAGAAATCTCAAGCAAATATTTTTAGTTGAAGCAATTCAATCTCGTCGCGTGTTTTACGTGTTCATAGAGACGAATCTTGATCAAATCTTTGGTTGAAACAATTCAGTTGCATCATTTGTTTCTCGTGTATATTGATAGACAAAATTATGGTGACGTAGACATTCCCTAAACAACCATTAATATATGAATATATACTATAAAATTAGAAAAAATATTTTTAAATCGTAAATAGAGCAGTTTATGTTTTATACTACGTGCAAAAGGTATGCTTTCATATAATGTTTGAAAGAAAAAATGGATTGAATTTTCAGGCGTTAACAACGAAAGCATGCTGAAATCTGTATAAATTAAGCATCACATTATCTTCAGTAGGTAGATTTATCTTGTGGAAATGGAATACATCTTCAAGAGTCATCAGTATTAGTAAAACCTTGTCAACGTCAACTACCAGTTAATTTTGCAACACAGCTGACAAAAACTACGACCTTTTAAGACGAATGATTAGAAAATCAACTACCATTTACTCACAGGACAATTGATATGGCCACACGAGGCATTCTTGCCCTGCTCCTTGCGGGTTCAGGCGCATAGTAGAAGTCAGGAGAACATCAACGTTCTCCATTGTAATCAAAAGACATAACTAATAACGGCAGCAACGCAAATTCAAGACTTGACTTAAAAGTCAAGGAGCTGAGTTCCAAGTCCGAACCTTGTCGTGACCGTATAGCATGGCATTAATTTACAACGTCCATATCTGGATCACCTAGAAGGGGTATAGCTAGGAGTGACACGACTAGTTTCTTCCGCGATTTCCATACTGTCCTGCACCCATAGGAGTACCAACACCAGAGTTGTTAGTGGGCGGACCAGCAAGTGCAGGCATTCCGCCAGGTAAGATTACTCCTTCACGGTGGAGCCAGAACATAGGTTGATGATATATAGGAGTGGATACCGGTGCTACAGGGGGTCTTATAGCAGTTCGAGGACGTTTGTTGTTGTTATTATTGCAAGGTTGTACTTGATGTTTCTTGGTAGATCCCTCATTAATACGTTTCTTTTGTCCCGGCTGTCGCACTTCAACTTTAGAAGAAGGCCCTGGTGTAGTACCAAACGTGTTTTCTTTCAGCCTTCTCAGCTCAGCAATGCGGTTATGAATCTCCTTAACCAGATTCTGACATTCAAGATTGTTGTCCGAAATGCACTTTAGGACAGATTGCAGACAAGCTAATTCTTCATCTCTAGCCTTATCCTGAGAGTTCACATTAAACGTGTCACGCATGAGAATTTACATGAAATTGATAATTTGATGAAAACTAAATAGGACAGAATAACCTTGGTTTGAAATGAGCTTTTCTTGCAACGTCTCTTGGAAACCATTTTTGCATTCTGCACATATTCTCTCAAGAGATCAACAGGTGGGATCTTGTCAGCCAACTCATATGCCCATATAAATCTAACAGCTTCGGCAGGCTTCTGCTTCTTGATAAGATTAAAAACAAAATCTTGACAAGACAAGATTTCATCTATCAAATTGGATAAAAGTACTCCGGGATATCAATTTAACACAGATGGTGTAAAAACTAAAGCAAATTATGACATGGGACCACTGCCAGAAAATCAGTTCAAGTTATCAACACAATTAAAAGGGACTAAAATTTCCATATTCCTCGTTGGGAAGGGAAGAAGAGAAAAACTAACATTTAAAGACAGTTAGAAAATGCATGAAAGGGAAGCACAAAGGGATGAGGCCTGAACCCGCAAGGAGCAGGGCAAGAATGTTACTTTCTTCATTGAAGCTGAATGGGGGACAAGCAGGATAAAACAGATGTCAGGTCAGTACAGCAATATAATTATCACATGATACACGCCACGTCCACCACAACAGATTATAGAGTCAAAACAAATAAAAAAAGAAAAGCAATAACAGCCCCCGGGGAGGGGGGTGCATAGTTGTGTTTTTCATATGACAAGAAAAACATCTTTCTAGTAGTGCAATTTTTTTGTTGCGAAGGAGGCATGAGGCCTTGGGAGTAAGGGGTGAGGAAGGCATTTGGGTAGGATTCAGATCTTCATGTAACGTAAAATATCGACTAATTTTAGATTTTTGCACAAATTGGGATAATCTGAATTTTAAGGGAGATTAACCAAACAAGTACAACGCCTTTCACAGAGGCACTGCCTTTTGTGAGGTGCCAAAAGGGGAACTCTCTTAGAGTCATTTGCGTTGTGAAATGTACAAGTCTTTGGCAACTTACTCATGTCATGCATTTAACTTAAAGGCCTAAACCCGAGAAATGAAACACATGAGAAGACCAGCCCATCCTTCTATATTTAATAAAATAGGGTAAAATAGTAGCTCTCAGTTTGAAATATTATTCGGTCTAATAAAATTTTGCAGGGCAGTGGGACCACCACATGTCAACAGCAGCTAGTTTGAATCAGAAAGCACAATGTAGAATAAGAAAGAAGGACGTTCAAGAGTGGAAAGATATAAATCCGGTGAAGGAGAGGAGAAGAAAGTAACAAGATTTGTGGATCTGAATCTGATGGAGACAAAATTTTCAGAGAGCATACCGGAAGCTTTAGTGGCAAAACCAAGTGTCTGGAACAGCTGTACAGCTTCTTCGTGGTGAGCAACAATCTCTAAGAGCTTTAAAATTTCATCTTCATCAAATGAAGATGCTAAGCCATAAATGGACAAAAGCAGTAGAAATCCCAGAACCTCCAGAGAATTTTCGGTACCTTCTCTCATCTCAGCCTTCAACTCATGTGCTAGCTTCCTTGCTTCTTCTCTTACTCGCGGTTCAATATCTGGCGAGATTCTCATAAGCCACTTTAGCAAAAATGTGTGGCTTCCAGCAGTGATAGCACTTTTCTCTTCCTTTGTACTTTGAGGAACAATAGGGTTCCCTATCATATTTAAAACAAGTTTTGCTGGATCCAATGTTTGGGGATCAACTAAAATGTCACTCCCCATCAACCCGTTTGCATTTGCTTGTTGATTTACAGTCAAATGCAAATTTCTTCCACCTCGGGTAGCACCAAGCTGATTATCTGCACACAAATTTAACCACAAAATTAGCTGCAAGAGCTTTAAGCTCCTCACGTTTTTCAAAGCATAAAAAATCAAGAAGTCATGTGTTCAGATGATGCAGGTGCCACCGAATGCCAAATATCTCAAAGTTGAATAGCTCACATGGCCTTTTTGCATTAATACTTACAAAATGATCATAACTAAATCACAAAATCATGAGATCACTGAGAGGATGCAAGGAGAAAAGGGATGCATGGTAGACATAAGAATGCCTTCAGAACAGGGCAGGCAATTTTTTTTTTAAAAAAAAAAACAATGAAAAAAGGTAGGCTGGTCATCTCTGGAAGATAATGAAAATGTGTTCTGCATTAAAAGCTTCTAGAGGTGATTCCTTTATTTCATAAACAGAAGGACACAGCATCTATGATAAACATATCCATACGTAGTAAAAAGATTGAAGGGAACAGCAGTGAAGGAATAAAATTTTTCTTTTATCTTCTTGATGTAGAATGTAGAATATACATAAACTCCCGAGAAGAAATTTTGCTGATTATTCGGAGACTCCAAATATTATATGACACTAAATAACTATATTGCTTGTGGTACCGTAATATATTCTCATTTGCTAAGGAATGCTAAAAAGGACTTTGGGATTTTAGGGCTTCTACATGTCTTTGCAAAGGCAGAAGTATAACCATGATCCATTTGACCCAAAAAAAGAAAAAAAGAAAGTAAACTCATGTCACTTTTTCCCCTCAGCCAGCCCAAATGGAAAAGAGAGATTTCCACAAAAAGAGGTTTGAAATTACTAAATCCCAAATAAGGCTTAGTAAGAACATTTTAATAGGTTTTGACAATAACGGATTTGCAAATAACATTTCATTTTCGTAAAAATTTCTTATTTGGACCTTGGTAATTTCAAACTTCTTTTTGTAGGATTCTCACAATGGAAAAGCCACTTGTAAATTTTTTTCAAAAAAAGGATAATTAAAGAAATTGATGGAAACCATTATATTAAAATTGATAAAGATATGCAGCATTAAACTGCCTAGGGAGATTATTACATATGCATCATATGTAAGAGAAGCCTCAGGGTGACCACATGCACTTAGGAAAAAACAGTTTATTAAAACTTGATCCGGCTGAGCTAGAAAAGGAAGTACATGTTTACCAGGTACCATCTTGAAAATACCTAGGGATTGTCGTAATTCAGAAGTCTGACAATGCTGGGAAATAATATCTAGAAGTGTATGAAGTTCAGTTGCATCAAAGGATGAGCCTAGTTCATATGTAGCCACAAGCTTCAGAAACCCCAGGACCTCCAAACAATCCTTATTACTTACAGACAAATTCTCCTTCCACTCAATTGCCAACTTCATTGATTCTTCTTTCACATGAGAACTAATTACCGGTGAAGATTTCTTCAATTCGTCTAGCAAAAGAATACAGCTCCTCCTTATAATATTTGCATCATACGCAATGTCCTCTTGGCTCGAATTTGAAGGATAAAAACCCTGCATTGAATCTAGCACCAATTTAGCAGGGTCCACTGATGCTTGGAGAGAATTTGATACTTCACGGCACACCAACTCATAATTTTTCAAGAGATCGTTAAAGAGCGCTTGCAAACTCCTGCTATTCTTTAAACTAGTGGTATTTACAAAATCCAGTTCCTCTGTCTTTACACGTGGCTGGAAGATATTGCCCTTCTCTATCAACGCTTTTTCGTCTTCAAATAATTTTCTTAATAATTCAACTTGCTTTTCTTTGGACTCAAACTCCTTCACTCGTTCTTCAAACTGTTTCTCTTTCAACTCTAGCTTCTTCACTCGTCCATCAAATTGATTCTCTTTTGACTCAAGGTTCTTCACTCGTTCTTCACATTGTTTCTGTTTTATTTCAAGTTCCATGAACCCTTCCTTTGTCTTATGTTTGATGAAATCTAAATCTTTCTTGTTTTTTTCCAGCTCTTCAACCTGATGATCAATTCTGTTCTGCAAAGACTTGAGTTCTTCCTCTTTTGCTACAAGGTCATCATAGTCTTTCCCTTTTGATTCTAGTTCCCTAGCAAGTTCAGAAATTGACTTCTGTATTGAATCAAGTGCTTTCTCCTTTGTATTGAGCTCCTCATCACATCGAGTAATTTTCTTTTGGATAGACTTGAGTTCCCCCTCCCTCTTTTCATAATCGTTTTTATATTTCTTCAAAAATGCCTGAAATTCAGCATCTTTTAAACTGATATGTCCTTTCAATGTAATAAGTTGTTCTTCCTTTTTTCCAAGATCCCTGTTACATTCTCCAATGTTCCTCTGTATTGACCTCAGCACTTCTTCACGTTCAATGATCAAATCTGTGATCATTTTGAGATCCCTATTAGACTCTTCCTCTTTCGACTGCAGCTGCTTCTCACGGTCGTTTATCAATTTCTGGATAGATTTCAGCTCTTCTCCCCCTACGTGCAACTCCTTGCTACGTCCTTCAATACTTCTTTCAATGGCACGGTATTCTCTCTCTTTCAATTCAATATCTTGGCAACATAATCTCCATTGTCGTTGAACATGGCTAAGGTCTTTTTCCTTCTTCTCAAGCTCTTTGGATCGCTCTTCAATATCTTTCTCCATCAAGAGCAATCTCTTCTCTTTTGCTTTTACTTTTATCGTGTACTCACCTAATGATTTTTCAATTGAGTCAAGTTCTTTCACTCTCGCCTCAAGTTGACCAGAGGATTCGGCGATTGATTTCCGTATTGCCTTCCAGTCCTTTTCCTTCTTTTCAAGCTCTTCAATATGATCTTGAATCAAGCCATCGAGAGAAGCAAGATGTTTCTTCTTCAATTCCAAATCGTTGGAAGCTTGTTGACTCAAGCTATTGATTTCTTCCAGTTTCTTGCCTTGTGAGTCAACTTGCTCGTTACATTCATCTAAAGACTTCTGGACAAGATGCAATCTTTCCTCTTTCTCGTGAACCAGTTGGGAGCACTCATCCAAGCACTTCTGGATCACACTCAACTCATTCTCCTTCAACTCAACCTCTTTTTCACGGACATTAAGACTTTCCAAGCGATCTCCAATCGTTTTACTGAGGGAATCAAAATGTTCCTGCAAATCCTTCCACTGGAGAGAGAACAAAAGGAAAGAGGAAGCTTGGGATTGTAACTGCTCGTATGCTCTTCCCAAGTTATCTAGTTTCATCCCAGCCACTCGCAGATTCGATGCAATTTCTTCCATTGCACAAGTAGAAACAACGTAGTTCCTCGTTCAGACTTGAAACCCTAAAATCTCAAAGTTGAAAAGCAGAAAGAGAGGTATGCGCCGAAGCTTGGAGACTTACGATAGTGTTTGCAAAGTTGCAGAGCAATGGATAGGCAGCGGACTGTTACAGCGAAAGTGGTGACATTGCTTGAAGCCGAAGAAACACGGGCTCAGACTCCCAGACGACCTCAAATAAACGATGAATTTGGCAACGGACTCTCGCCAGTGCCGAGCTTAAATAATAAATCCTATGAATTTTTTTTCTGGCCCCAAAAAAAAAAATCCTGAGATTTTCTATTGCAGGTGTATAATATCAAAGATGATTTTGTGTTTGATATTATGATGATGGTAGGGATTTCATTCAATTTCATTTCGATATTTTAAATTTTGATAGATTTTAACTTATTTTGATTTTAAAATTAAAAAAAACCAAATCAGAAAAACATTAAAAGCCTCAGATAACTCGCCAACGCAAATAATACATCTGTTAGTTTTTTGAAGGATGTACATACATCATTTATCGTCCAATCTCTCCATATTGCGTCTTTGACGTTTGTGATTAGACGATTCCGTGGGGGAGAACCATAAATATATATATATATATATATATATACATTTTTACTTGTACCATTATTATTGAATTGAATGTATTAATGCATCTTTTTAGTCAGAATGTTGGCAAAAGTTAAAGTATTTTAAAAATTTCTTCATCCTTATTTTTATTAATAAAATGCATCGACGTTGAAGTTTTAAATATTAACAAAATATTGATAAATATTAAGAGAAGGGAAAGGATCACTCACGTGAGAATCACATTGTATACTTCCAAGCAAACCAGGCAAAGGGAGGAGCGTGATGAACTGATGATGTGAAGAGCATCGTTCACCTTGCCTTCGGAGCAGGCCTTTTCCAAAAGCCTCATGTTAACCAGGCAACCCCTGGGAACATGAAGATTTCTCTTTTACTTTGTATTTATGACAACCACGGCATGTTGAGGATAGGCCTTCTTCTCATCACTTTTGCTTAACTCAATTGAGATATGTTTTAATGAATGTGTAAATCAATCAATCATCAACTATTAACTATATTCTTAAAAACTTGTAATACTCAATTCGTTTGAAAATGGATCGGGTGTGATATTATGAGACCTGAATATATTCACTTAATAAAATTTGAATAATATTTTGATTGGGATTTGGGTATATTGAATTAAATGAGGAGCATCATTATTAAATGAGACTTCAATTGAAGGCTCAAATGAAGAAATGAATAATTAATTTTGAATTTAAATAATATCTTAATTGGGATTCAAATATATTAAATTAAATAGAAAGCATCATAAATAAATAATATGTCAATTAGAGGCTTAAATGGAGAAATAATTAATTAATTTTAAATTTTCATATGTCCCTCCTAAATTCCACATCTCTAATTCAAATTCAATTTGAATGAATAAAAAAACATATTCATATGAGAGCTGAATTTTGAACTATCGTAAATAATACAATTTATTAGAATTTAAAATCTAACCAAATATTAGTGAGTGTATCGCATGAGTGACAAATTTCTAGTTTATGCAAAAAGTTGTAAATTAATTTGTGTCGTGTGCAGTTGGAGATAATGTTGACACGTGGATAATTTTAATGTGCTTTGTCGGCTAAAACAATAAAAAAATGATTTATGCCTGCGATAATTATTTTTAATAATTATCTAATTTTTGTAACTACTGACTAATTCAAATTTTATTTCATGTGATAATTTTAATCGACTGAATATTTTGATCCACTGGTGGAGGATGCATTGAAAAAACAAACTGCACCAATAAAACTGAGACATGACATACATAATAAACCATATGAAAACGGACGTTTCAAATGCTGAAAAAACAATGACGCCCAAGAAAAAACGTCTGGCCCTATCGTAAGAAGCCGGACGTCTAAAACGAATCGGGGCCCTGTGGCCTGTCTCCGGAGAACGAGTGATCTGTGCGATTCACAGCGCAGCATCCTCGTTTCGTCATGCGCTTGTGTGTGTGTGTGTGTGTGTGTGTGTTTTTTTTTTTGTTTTGGGCAGAACCCATACCACACTTTGTTTTTCTGGGCCAACCCATACTACACCTTGTTATTGAGAAATAATGTGAATAATGAGATTTACTTTTTTTAAATTTCGTACAGCACATGATGTACATTAGTTAACAAAGATATCAATCAGATCAGTAATAATACTATCACTGGTCTTAATTATAAAAGCTAGTTGACTAATTTGAAGAGATTAAGAAAATAAGTTGAGTTAGTTATTTGTTCTAAATAGGTATTGTCTTTCCTAAAATATCCTTACTAACCAACTGTATTGGTTAGAACTACTATTATTAGAAGAATACTTTAAAAAAAATATAAATATGAGGGACAAAACAGATTATAATCTTATATTTATGATAAAAATAAAAATCAAACAAAGTTTTATATTAAGGATGGATAGTAGTATGTGTTATTTTGCAAGGAGTGCTGTCATCACAAGTCTTAGTCAGTTAGTCTGTAATGAAGGCAAGAATTATGTGTGTAAGGATTGTACTTTTATAATTCAGTTGGCATCTGGCAATGAGCTGTAGTATTTATTTCACTTGACGTTTAAGATGTAAATGGACTTGAAGTCCTCTGATTCAGCTGAAATTAATGAAGTCAGAGAGGAATTCACGAGGGCCGTAACGTGATTTGGTTGAATTGAACAGATTGTGGCCTGCGCAGCGGACGGGGGTATTAAATGCTTGTGGCGAACTAATAACAAGGCATGGCATCAGTTAATATTATTTTCCAGCAAATACCTTACCCAACGGTCTCATGCATATCTTGATCTCAAATTACTTTTTTTGTTTTTTTTAACTTTACAGTTTTCTTTCTGATAAGATCCTTTACCGTCCTTTTCCTAATCGCAAGGGACGGCATGTTGGTTGTGACCTAGATAGGTCAAAATGAGCATCCCTAACCCAAACCATAACATCTGCAGATATATTAAGTATTTACGCAAAAACACCAGCTATTAACAAAACACCTCAAAATGTTAGCCGCTTCATACAGATGATTCCCCGACTCAGGAGTGTAAACGGTATCCAAGGAATACACAGATTAGCGCCACCATGCAGACATACAGAAGAGGGAACCCAACTTGAACTTCTCTTGCATCTCTCTTACTCAGATCCGCCTGCAGGTATAAAAGCACATGCCAGCAACAGTTATGAGACATCACCCAACTTATCGGCTAAATTCGAGTAAAAGAATACTCTTAAAACGTATTTTATTTTCATCCTAAACCACCATTGATATATGGACGGTACTCCAATTTCTGTAACGACAAATAAATTGCACTACACGAAGATAAGAAATTACGACAGGACAAATGACCAAGGAAACAACACCAGTAATTGTAAGACTAGAGAGTTTTTTTTTTTGGGCCAAAAAGAAACAGTCTTGCGCTTACTAGTTTTTCTTGCAACATCTCAGTCTCTAGCCTGCTTGCCATCCTTTCCTCTCTTAGCTTCGATATTGTTACTCCAGCCTGCACAGGAAGCCAGAAACTTGAACATGTCCGTGGTTGGATCGTAGGGAGTAAGATTGAACTCAAGAGCCACTATCACAATCATCTATCCAAACATAGAGATGTCTTTGATCTAAAGCTATTATGTTGTGACATGGAAAAGATTTCTTTTGCATGTACAGAGAAAGATATAGAGATGTCTTTAATCATCGAGACCTTTAACTCGACAAAATGTGATCTGAAAGTAATGAATATATATATATTGAGTGAATGACAGCAATAAATATTAATAATAAAAAAAAGATCTGGAGAGGATAAAGAACTGAATAATAAAGGACGCATCTTTATCTTTTCTTTTTTTTTAAGCTTTGTTTGTAAAGTGTTTTTTGTGATAATCCACGACAAAAATATATTAAAAATGTTTATTTAAAAAGTTGAAACAACATAAAGCTATTATTCAGTTCTTTATCCTCTTCAGACCTTTTTTTATTATTAATATTTATTGCTGTCATTCACTCAATATATATATTCATTCCTTTCGGATCACATTTTGTCGAGTTAAAGGTCTCGATGATTAAAGACATCTCTATATCTTTCTCTGTACATGCAAAAGAAATCTTTTCCATGTCACAACATAATAGCTTTAGATCAAAGCCACTATCACAATCATATATATATGGAAAAAAGTCACGATTAAATGACTGACCTCATTTAACTTGGACTCAAATTCATCCAGTTTTAACTTCATCTCTTCTATGGATGCCATTAATTTCAACTCCTCTACGCCCTTTGATACCTTCACTTCTTTTTCTGACTTCAGTTTCTCTGCATCTTTTGATACCTCTGAATTCTCAGTAGATTCCATTAATTTCAGCTCTTCTATACCCCCTGATATCTTTGACTCTTCTGCTTTCTCTGACTTCAATTCATCTACATCCTTTGCAATGTTCAGCTCCAAATTATTTGGCACTTTCAGCGCTGCTTTATCTGGTTTCGGTTCCTCCACATCCTTCACAGCATTGAACACCCTATCTTTTGCCGGCTTCAATTTCATATCCTTTACATACTTTAACTCCTCATTATCTATCTTATTCTCTGCATTCTTAACCTGACAGTGACATATTCCAGGTAACAGCTTATGAGACATTAGTTCTTTAATAAGTATAATTTGAACTAGTGAAATTAATAACCAACCCATCCCCCAAGCATATGCGCAGGAGAGTAACAACGCTTCCAATTGTGACAACAAACAAAACCAAAGGGAACCGATAACAATTTCCTAAAACATGACTCCGACCAAAAGCATAAGAAACAGCATCGACAAAGTTTGAATTTACTCAACATCATATTGTTTTATAGAGTACAAAAAGCATTCTTCAAACCATGAAAACAACTATCCACAAGTCATAATTTGCAAACCTTCCAATTGAGTAACTGACAAAGTAAATGATCCAAGGATTTGAAATATTGAGGTGATTAAGACAGAGATTAAGGAAGGAAAGGAACTTTAAACCAAGCATTAGAGGATTTTATCTGACCATGTTTTCCGGAGATGTAATTTCATCTTCACTGAGCATCTTATCATTTTCTTGGGCCAGTCCTTTTTTAATGTCTCCATTAACAGGAGATGCTTCGGCTGAATGAAATGGGCTAACCAGGGTCACTTTCAGTTTCTCTTCTTCAATGTATCTGCCGGCATCTTTGACAAACTATGATTTACAAATGAAATAGTAAATATTAAAAAGAAATAATAAAAACGACCAACACGGTCTGTAAACCAAGGACACATCCGTACCAAGCTAGAAGTAATGTCATCATTAGTCGTTTCAACGGGAACAACGGTGCTTTGAATTAAGAATTTGTCCTTGCACATCAGATCTACCAGTGCCGTTCGTTGAGCTTGCATTGTGACTAGGTTGATGCCAAACAAAAATATGCATATCATGTAGGTGAATCAATAAACCACAAACCAATTTCACTTACTAATCTTCCGACTCAGTCATTTGCACTCATTTGACACCAGTAAATAATACTAACTGGCAAACGAGATAAAAATAACATAGGTCACAAGAAAGTTATACCTACGAACGCACAAGAAGATTTTGGCATGAGAACCCCTACATGTGGCCGAACTGAGTATTTCTTAGGCGAGGTTGTCTTGATCTGCCAATATCATACCTAATTGATTTAGCTGCCCAGTATTATGTATTAATAATACCGATTTCCATGTCAACAAATAAAGATCAGTTGCTGGCAAGAATAAGAAAGATGCTCGGACCTTGAAAGCAACATAGTGGTGGGTGTTATTAGTCAACTGAACTGAGCATGAACTTCGCTTCTTTAGTTCAACTATAAATGCCAAAAATTGTGTCAGTGACCGCTAAAAATACTGAACCGAAACATTATCAGAAATAAAACAGGGAACGAGTGTGACCACCCAGGTCACGGATTAGCCAGGAACTAAAAACATTTGATAACAGTATGCATAAATCCCTAAGCAATTTGCCTTGTCAATCCATCCATCAGTCTCAAGTTTACGATAGATTCAGTTTCGTAGATGAACTGGAAATATGATACCTAAAGATCTAATAGATTTCAGGCAAAAATATTTTAATTTCCAAGTAATCAAGCATAAATATTATTTCTAGCTAATATATTAATTTGTGAGTGCAAATATAAAAAGGAAAATATAAAGGAAGAATCCGTTAACATTTTAATCAAGAAGTGAGAAGCTTCTAGAAAGAACGACCATAGGCAAATATTCAATTGTTTACGCACAGGTAAACTTAAGTTCCTTGGGCTCAATTTGCAGAAGTCTTTTGCTCATGACTAGCGCTCGGTGTATTATAATCCAAATTCAAGCTAATCGAACCAGCATCCAAAACCAAACAGGTTTTATTCCAAGCCTAGCAACCTGCATTTCATTAGAAGTGAAAATAGTGAAAACTGAACTTGCAGATTTTCAGACGCCGCCTACTGAAAATAAGAGGGCTTATAATCACGAAGTACCAGAAACTCATCTTCATTCCTTTTACTTCAGTTTCGCTTAACAAAGAGAACAAGAGGGAAGCAAAAGTATCAAAAAAGAAGAAGAAGGGAGTGAGCAGAGTCGTCGCCTCAGAAGGTGAAGATCAACATCTAAAAACGACAGAGATCCCACTCGTTCTGAGAGACACGTCAATTGTTAACGACGGAGTCAAGAGCTCTAGAAAAGACGAACTAATCAGATAAGAAATGGACCTTGTGAGCTAGTAAAATAGGAAATAAGCAGCATGCTTTTCATGCACGATCAGAGGGCTGGAAATGGGAAGAAACTGAAAGGCTGTGTTTACCAGTATGAGCATCAACGAGGGAAGAAAAAGGGGAAACGATCGAGATAGCAGAAGGGGGGAACGAAAAGGAAGGGAATCAGTATGAAGATCACAGTGAAAGTGGTAAACAGAGGGTTCTTTTGTTTTTTTCGTTTTGGAATCATAATGGCGAGTGATGTGAAAAACTGGAAACAGTAATGGCTTTGCTTTTAATAAATTTACTTTGTGGAGTCAGTCAAAGGACGTGTGGAACGCATTGATTGTTACCGACACGACACGAAGGCGGGCTTGCTCCATGGCTCCGTGCAACCGTGGCGCCAAAGTGCTGGGCCCCACTACCATTTTACCCCACCTCCCCTCTCGTCAGTTCAAAACTTCAAATTTACTTCTCAAAGTTACAATTTCAAAGCAGTATAGCTTTCTCCGCTGCTTGACTTCGTGGTCAAACGCAACTACGTTAAAGTAAACTGAAAATTGATTAAAACTCAGAGAGTACGACACGATCCAACGAGACTAATTTTCTTTATAAAATCAGATTAGAAAAGGACACTTTGTAAAATTAAAAATTAAAAATATGTATAATTAAAGAATTAAAGACACATCAACAAGAAGAAGAAAAAAAAAGTAGAGAAACAGCTGGCTTTATCAGATGATACAAAATGTTACAGAAGGGTCCAAATTTGCCGCTTTTTAAGAGCTGATTGGCTTCATGCGGTGATGACTGATGAGAATGGGAGAAATTGGTGACCATTTGCTTCTTGCGATGAGGTTTCGAGCATGAACGGGCAGGTAAACTTCTGGTCTCCGAGAGGCTTTCATTTGCATTTCAGCATTGTGTTCAAATTAAGATATCGGATTTTCTGAGGATTCCGGTACGATTAAACAAAACAAAATACTTTTGTAATTTTGTTTGAGTCATCAGAACAATTGCTTTTGTCACCAAAAAAAAAAAAAGAAAAAGAAAAAGAATTTCAAATGAAATACTACCTCTAGTCCTAATTATAAGAGCCAGTTGACTAATTTGAGAAGATTAAAGAAATAAGTTGAGTTAGTTATTCGTCCTAAATAGGTGTTGTCTTTTCTAAAATATCCTTGCTAATCAAGTGTATTAACTAGAACTATAATTATTAGAAGGATTATCTTGGAAAAAATTGAGTAAATATGAGAGACAAAGTGGGTTGGGGTCTTATATTTGGGATCAAAATAAAAATTAAACAGAATCTTATGTAAAATATGAAAATCTGCGTGGCGGCAGAAAAGACAGTGCCTGCGGCGTCCAGAACGTCCTTAATATACACTCAGTAAATCAATTTAAAAAAGATTAAAAAAATTACTAAATTAATTTAAATATTTATATTTATAATTTTTAAAAAATTAATTTAGGGGAAATCACAAATAAAGACCCTCGAATTAGCAAAATCACTCAATGGTCACCTGAATTTGCTAAATTATCATGAGGGACCCGGTCTCAAATGGCAAATAGCAAATGTTGGTGAAAAGACGAAATTGCCCCTCAGTGATTTGAACCTGCTGAACCCGCGGCACGTAGTCCCCCCACTATCGACAACTTCCCACTGTTCTCTACATTCTCCCTATTGTCTCCATTTTCGCGCACCTGCGTACTGCCATTTTGCCGTAAGAGTAGTGTGGAGAGGAGTGTTGAGACGGTGAAGAGCATATTTGCTGTGACAAAGGTGAACAAAGCAGTGGTTTATCGACATTGTGGAAGGGTTCAGAGAAGTCGAAGGCATCGCTGAATAGTGCGGCAGCAATCGCGTTAGGTGATCAGAGTTAGCAGCTACGTTGGGCGACTGATTGTAGTAAGTTTGTTGGCTAATTTTGTTTGGATTGGTTGCTGCAAGAATGTGCGAATGATTGGTGAGAGTAAAAGAGTTTAGGGTAGGAAAGTAGAAGTACCCAAATTTTGATTGAGTGATGAAGAATGTTATTTAACAGAAAAATATAGGTTTTTTCTGTTAAATAACCTATGGGAATGGTATTTATGTGGGGAGGGAATGACAATATCAGTTTCGTAGATGACAATAATAGTAGGGAAAATAACGACATAGGATATAGTCAAGGGTAAATTTAATTGAAGAGGTACTAAGTGTGTTTTGTTATAAATGAGAAGGTGGACGGTGGGATTTGATAAGTTCTGTAACAAAAATGATAATTTAAGAATAGGAAATGACAAGTTGATTAATTGGGAATAAGAAGATGTCAATGCGAAACTGACAAGTTGGTAATGGGAAATAACAAGGTTATAACAGTGAATGACAAGATTTGTATGCGAAGTAAGAATTTGATAATAGGAAATGACTTGTTTGAATAACAAAGCTGAGTATGACAATAAGACAAGTTTATCATTTCAAATGACAAGTTAAACTACTAGTGTATGATCAGAAATAACAATTATGATAAGTATGTGGGAATAACAAGTTGAGCTTAAAGAATTGACAACTTTTGTAGAGAGAATAACAAGTTTATCATAGGCGTTTGATTGACAGAATGAGTATTGACAGAATTGTTGTTAGTCAGTTAATAAGTTGTGTTAGTGAACTATTGTATGTTTAATATTTTGCAGGAAAAAGGACATGGCATCTGAGGGAGCCTCCAGATCAAAGCCGGCACACAATGGCTGGTTGCTATTCAGAAGGGAGTATTTGGCAACATTAGGTGATAGTGATATCAGAGGCAAACAAAAAAGAGACGCTGTGTCAAAGGCATGGAGAGCTTTGTCTGATGAGGAGAGGAAGAGGTACACAGAGGAGGCGAAGAAAAGAAGGCCAGAAAAGATTGAAGAGGAGAAGAAAAAGAAATATGTACCATCATTTTTAACCCGAGTGTCCTTGAAAGGTTTTAAGAAATTACTGCACTTTGTGAATAATAATGATGAGTTAAGGGATAGGGTGGAGAGGATAGGATTTGGAAGCTTGTTGAAGGTTGGATTGAAGAGACTTCCCCGCGATCTCCTTGTGACTATGCTAAGATCATATGACCCACCAACACATCAATTTACAATACGGGGGAAAACTGAGGAAATAGGAGCAAAACATGTTGACAAGCTCCTAGGAATACGCCATGGTGGGGAGAAGATTAAAATTGAAGTTTCGGAGGATGATGAAATGTACAAGAACTTGAAGAATCAGTATCGGAGAGTGCCATTCAGCAAAATACTAGATGACATTATTTCTGGGGAGGAAGATCACAGATTTGAATTCTTGTTTGTCCTATACACGCTGGGTACCTTTCTATGTCCGTCATCTAGCTCAGAAGTGAGTGAGCGGCTAGTGAGAGTCATGCGTTCCACGATGGATGACTTTGGAAAGTATGATTGGGCAACACATGTTATGGAGGACCTATGGAAAGAAATGGCTGACTTTGTGAAGCTGTATAGACAGGGTAATGATGGGCAGGGGAGCAGTACTGTTGGTGGCTGCGTATACTTGCTTTTGGTATGACTATTTTGTTTCTCACTGTGCAATACTTTATTGGCAATATGAACAATGTAATTGGTGATGATATGTGGTGTTGCAGCTTTTTTTCGGTGAGCATTTTAACCTTATTCAAGGTTCACAGCGAGGCTCCACCAGTGCTATCCAATACTGGACAGATGAGAAGATCAAAGAATTGGCCAATACTGAGAGGAAGAGCGTTAGGGGGCTGTTGTATGGTGAGAAAGGGAGTGATGTTGTGTTTGGCAAAGACGAGAGGATAAATGTTGATTCTCTGGACCCGGTATGTATATCTTTGGTAGAGTGATATTCTTGGTGAACTTCTTGTTTGTGATAGTTACGTTGTCATTTGATAAATTGACTTGGTATATATAAAACTTATGTTGTGATTAGGTTTAGTGAAGTTGTCATTTGTTATAGTTGTCATTGTTACTTGATAAACTTAACCTGTTAAAAACGGTACCAAAGTTGTGATTGGGTAATGTGAACTTGTCATTCGGTAAAGTTCAGGTTTGGGTTGTTATTTGATAAAGTTGTTATTGATTATGCCTGAGTTGTGATGGGATCAAGTGAACCTGTCATTTGTTACAATGTAGTTGTTATTTGATGTATCGAAGTTGCTAATTATAATTTATTAGTTGTGATTGGCTAAACTGAACTAGTCATTTGATATAGTAAAGTTGTTATCTGACATACCAAAGTTGTTATTTATACTACTGATGAACTTGTTATTCGCAATAGGGAGAGGTTGTAATTTGTTACAGTGTAGTAAGCTTGTAATTTCATATACTGAAGTTGTTATTTATAATATTTAACTTGTCATTGGGTAAAGTGAGCTTGTCATCTGCAATAGTGAGATCATGATGTGGTATAATTATGTTGCTAGTAAATTGATAAACGCCATTGTCATGCAGGAGCTGAAGCAGTTGCGTGCACGATTAATGAAGAGGATAGAAGAAAGCCATCAGAGGCTGATGAATATGGTAGATGAGGAGCTGTTGAAGGTGCACATTCCAAGAGAGGCAGATGGGAAGAGAAAAGGAAAGGCTCCTGCTGAGACACTCGCATCAATTGTTAGTGGGTCTGAAGATGACGATGAAGAGGAGAGACAGCATGCTGGTGAGACTAGTGAAGCTGTGCAGAAGAATGATGGAGGGAGTGATGGTGAGAGTAGTGAGGAGAAGGAGAAAGATGACGAGGGGAGTGATGATGAGACAAGAGAGGAGGAGGAGGAGGACAAGGAGAAAGGTGACAGGGGGAGTGATGATGGGACAAGTGAGGAGGAAGGCAAGGAAAAGGATGATGGAGAGAATGATGAAGATAGTCAGGACAAGGATGAGGGACAGAGTGCACAGAAGGACAATGATGAAATGGAGGGTGACATACCCACGCCTACTACCCCCATAAACCTGTCATCTAATGTTGAAGGTGATGATGCGGAGGGTGACAGAGCCGTCACTATATCCCCCCTAGCAATTGTCAAATATGTTGACCCTGTTGAGAGGCAAACCCCCATCAGGGTGGAACCTTTGACAGCAGCTGAAGGTGTGCAGGCACAACAAGTAAGGAGATCTAGCAGGGTTCGCTTCAACAAAATTAAGTCTCCTTGGTTGGAGTTGAAGGCACAAACAAGGTTGAAGAGGCCTGCAGAGGATAAAGACATTTTCTTCACCATTGTCAGCCGAAGTGTGAAAGGTGATGAAGGCGACTAGTAAGTATTGTGATACTCAGCTTTTGTGATGGGGTTTTGTTATCACTTGTTAACATAACCCATATGCTAACTCACTTCAACCATTGTCAGTCCTTTGATTAAAATGTATGATGAAGATATTACCCGACGCTTGCTGCATTCTCTTGGGGGAAATAACAGAGTTAGTAACAGGGTCATGTCATTAGTTTGTAAGGCCGTGGTGGATGAGCAACAGGCTGTGGAAGGGCGTGTAAGGAGGCATATTTTTGATGCGGACTTCATGGTGAGGTTTCTTCATTAGTTTGTGAAATGATAAGTTTGTATATGAAAATTACAAGTCCTCAAAGGCAAATGACAAGTGTAGTATATAAAGTAACAACACTGTTAAGGCAAATAACCGTCTAAAGAAACTAATTGCAAACTGACAAAATCAATTTGTGTTCTTTATTAGGAGTTAATGATCCGTGACCCAGCTCGGTGGGACCCTAACTACCATGCACGACAAATAATTCCTCAATTTGTCGGGTACAACATAGGTGACTGTGACTTGGTTATGGGTCCTGCACTTGTTGGTGAGCACTGGTTTTGCTTTGCCCTTGAACCCAACACCATGAAGTTCTATGTCCTGGATTCCATGCGAGGAACTGTTCAGTCTAAGAAGACCACAACTAAGAAGAAGCAAGCAGTCACCTATGACCCTCAGGAAATGGCCATAGCAGGATGTGTAAGAATCACCTGGGCATATTACATTGTATTATTATTGTCTGAAATTATAGTGATGTTGATGAATATCTGATATATGTGTAGAGAGAAAGGTTCCACGACATTATTGGCATGGTTAGGCCAGATTTGACTGAGAAAATGCCAAATTTGGAAATTGTGCGGCCTGATGTACCTCAACAGAGTAATTTGTGAGTATACATACACTGCACATGTAATTTGCTGATTTCCTATATTTATTCTCGAATTGTTAAACTGTCATGGTGGTGTTGTTCCTAGGAGGGACTGTGGGGTGCATGTCCTAATATGGCTCAGCAGATGGAAACCCAATCTTCCACTAGAATACACCCAGGTGATGTGGTTTGCTTAATTGTTGTGACTGGTAAAGGGGCAAAGTAAGATTAACTTGCTGTTGAATCTGTTTTGCAGGGAGATGTGGCAGCTTTTCGGCGTGATCTAATGTGGTGGCTGGTGAACCATGATAACAATGAATGCCGTGAGGATGCGCTGAATCTTATTCCACATCCACAGAAGGGGCGAACGTCCAAAAGGAGGAGAAAGTCCCTATAGAAAAAGAATTTGGGCCATGAAGGACATTGACTGTAGATAATGTTACTGCGTTATCATTATGTGTAGTGAACTTATTGTCTGGCCTAACTGCTACCCAGTTATGACAATTAGTAATGGTGAAATGACATTTTTATTGACATCATTGAAATTGTGTTCAAGTGATGCGATTTCCACTTGTCTTTAACGTATGACAACATCAATATGCCAATTAACAAGTCCATTAAGCAATATATGAAGAACCTTTTTTTTATGAAATGACACTATTTCCACTTTTGTTTAACATCTGACAACTTCAGTATGCTAAATAACAACTCCGGTTAAGCGATACATGAAGTTCAATTTTTTCGAATGAAGTTACAGTATTTCTACTATTGTTTGACGAGTGACAACTTCACTTTGCGAAATAACAACTTCGGAAGTGGAAGCGGCGAAGTTCATTTTTTCCCTGTTTAAATGACATCCTTTCCACTTTTGTTTACCCAGTGACAACTTCACTTTGCGAAATAACAACTTCGGAAGTGGAAGCGGCGAAGTTCATTTTTTTCCTCTTTAAATGACATCCTTTCCACTTTTGTTTACCCAGTGACAACTTCACTTTACGAAATAACAACTTCGGAAGTGGAATCGGCGAAGTTCATTTTTTTCCTGTTTAAATGACAGTCTTTCCACTTTTGTTTACCCAGTGACAACTTCACTTTTAGAAATAACAACTTCGGAAGTGGAATCGGCGAAGTTCATTTTTTTCCTCTTTAAATGACAGGCTTTCCACTTTTGTTTACCCAGTGACAACTTCACTTTGCGAAATAACAACTTCGGAAGTGGAAGCGGCGAAGTTCATTTTTTTCCTGTTTAAATGACAGCCTTTCCACTTTTGTTTACCCAGTGACAACTTCACTTTGCGAAATAACAACTTCGGAAGTGGAAGCGGCGAAGTTCATTTTTTTCCTGTTTAAATGACAGTCTTTCCACTTTTGTTTACCCAGTGACAACTTCACTTTGCGAAATAACAACTTCGGAAGTGGAAGCGGCGAAGTTCATTTTTTTCCTGTTTAAATGACAGTCTTTCCACTTTTGTTTACCCAGTGACAACTTCACTTTGCGAAATAACAACTTCGGAAGTGGAAGCGGCGAAGTTCATTTTTTTCCTGTTTAAATGACAGTCTTTCCACTTTTGTTTACCCAGTGACAACTTCACTTTGCGAAATAACAAGTTTTGTTAACCAATTGGCAATATCAGTATGCCAAATAACCACAAAGCACAGGTGGTTTGACAGCAACCTCTATTTGCTGATATAACAAGTAAGCAGTCTGCATTTACAAATCAAGCAAGGGAGTTTACAGCAATACTAAGTCAAATAACCACAAAGCACATGTGGTTTGACAGCAACCTCTATTTGCTGATATAACAAGTAAGCAGTCTGCATTTACAATACAAGCAAGGGAGTTTACAGCAATACTAAGTCAAATAACCACAAAGCACATGTGGTTTGACAGCAACCTCTATTTGCTGATATAACAAGTAAGCAGTCTGCATTTACAATACAAGCAAGGGAATTTACAGCAATACAATGTCATTTAGCAAAAAGTAAGAGGTCCGTTTACAACAACCAGATTTTGCAATAGTCAATAACAAAAAGACATTCACAACGTCGTTGACTTCTTTTTTCCTTGTCAGCAAACATATTACTTGCAAAAATAGCTGTGTAGCTATGCAACTAGCAACACCCTTCTCCCAAAAAAATTAAGAAGAGTGGAGCGTATATACACCAAAAAATTAGTTGTCGCTTGTAGAAATGAACTTCAAAATGGGTTGGGATTTTTGCAACTCCTCCTTGTGTGTCCAGGTTGGTGGCATCTGGTGCAATGGTAGACTTTTTTGTTCTGGAATTGTGATTCCTGCCGTTTAGTCCTTGGTCTTCCAGGAGGCCTACTTGTATTTGGTGGTAAAAGCAAGGTTTGTTCAACAAGATTCTCAAACCTATAGTCATTTGGGTTAGGCATATCGATTGTTACCACTGGAACCATGCTCCTGCCATATATTTTCTCCTGTGCTGAAATTTTGTAACAATCTTCAACATATTCATATACATTTCCCCCCACAGTCTTAATGGCTGCACAAGCATGGCAGCATGGAATTCCTGACATTTGCCAACCAAGACAACTACATTGGTGTAGACCAAGGTCTACTCTTTGATCTCCACGAGATGTATGTACACACAGTCTTCCGCCTCCATAATTGTCACAACTCATATACCTACTGAAATACACATTCTCCAGAACCTTTGCCTCGGTTTTTGGCCCAACACAATTCCTCCACTTACTCATACACATATATGATGCATGCATCTTCCTTGCTACTTTCTCCCGATGCTCATGGATCATTTGCGCCACATTATGCTTTCTCTCCTTCACCATCCAAGAATTGAAAGACTCAGCTATATTGGTTGTTATATTGTCCCATCTTTTAAATGGAAACTTGCTCATTGCCCACCTATTCACATCACCTTGATTGATAACCCAATCATGTAACTCAGGAGACATAGTTCTCAGCTCTGCCATTGCATTATCAAAGTCACTATCAACCCTTGCATAAGCAACTCTATCAAGAACCTTTAATGCATCTTCTTTTGACCATTGGCTTGTCCTTTTACCTCTGTTTACTTTACTTGTTCAGCGCTGAAGTTTTCCTTCACATGCCTATAACAATACGCATGTCTTTCACCTCCAAATATTGCTTGGACAGCTCCTATTATGGCATTGTGTCGGTCTGACACAATTGTCACCTGCACCGAACCAACAATTTCTTTGATTTTGAACAGAAACCAAGTCCAGTCATCAAGGTTCTCTGATTTCACCACTGCTATTGCAAAAGGCAACAAGTCATTATCTGCATCATATCCCGACGCTGAGAGTAGTGTCCCCTTATATGGACCACTTAAATGAGTTCCATCAACATATAATATAGCCCTTGCACCACTCAAAAAACCCTCAATACACGAACCATATGCAATGAAAACCCGCTCAAATGTATTACCAATGGAAGCCCATTCAGCAACTGTTTTATCATCAGTTTCCTTTAATCTTTGGCATATCCATGGTATGAACATATAGGATTCTTCCGGTTTCCCATGTATGTGTTCCATGGCCTTTTCCTTTGCTCTGTAAGCTTGAGCATATGTTAGCCTCACACCATATTCCCTTTCCAGTGTCTTCCTTATTTCAGTAGGACGCTTTTCGGTGTGGTTCCTTATCTCCTCAAGTATTATTGATGACGTCAACGCAGCATTGCCAGCAAAAGTGACATCTAGGTTATCTTGCGCTGAATGAATGTGTTCATTAACGAATGTGGTCACGCGTAATAAAAGAGTATCCCTCCCAACAGCATTTGCACAAATCTTCCATGGACACCCTTCCACTTTACACCTCACATTCATCTTCTCCCTACTGTTTCTCACATATGTCGTTGCAAACTTCTGTGCAATACTAAACCTGTACACAGCCTCCCTAAAAGCTTGGGCATGTGGAATATATTGCCCCACCCCTGCAAAAACTCCAACCCATTTCATGCAATTCAAATTACCCCTCAATGTCCCTTCACTCCCTGAACCGTCACTGAAGTTTGTCTGACTTAAACCCCCTCCTTCATACGTTAGGCATTCAGCACCATAGTCAACAATGAGTGGTTCATAGTTATCACCAAGGTTCACCACACCTTCAGTCATTTCTCCCGACAGCCCAAACAAATTCTCACCCCTACACCCATAATAACAACGTTCGAATAGAAATTAGCAACAACACATTAGCAAATAACAACATTCTACTGTAACAAAGTTAGCATAATAACAAGATTTGTATGGGAAATATCAACAATGCATTATAAAATAACAACTTACTACTGTAACAAACTAAGCAATATAACAACATTTGAATGGAAATTAGTAACAACTCATTACCAAATTACAACTTCCAATCGCAACTTCATTACCTTAATTACAAGATTTATATCAAAATTAACAACAATTCATTACCAAATAACAACTTTCTACTGCTGCGCAGTGCACATGATAACAACATTTCTTTGGGTATTAACAATAATCCATTACCGAACAATAACTATCAACTGCAAAACTTTAACCACTTACATTTCTCCATCATTCACTGCTCCACCTTCCTTCTGGTTCCCTTTCGCTGCTACATACAAATGAGCACTGCTATCGTTATATCTAAACATATTGCAAATATCACCTTCATCATAAAGATCAACCAGTGTGCCCTCAGCAAACTTAACCGTGTACTTAATTTCGCACCCTTTAGCATCATTGTGTACCAACTGTGATATTGTTCCTCTTAATTCCTCCAGTGTTATCCCTTCTTTTATGCTGCTTGCTCTCACACTCCCTCCCCCGTATTTAACTTCACCTTCACTGTTTCTTTCAAAATACCCACCAACATGGAAAAAACAAAACAATTCCTTCCAACAGCTTGACCCATTGTAACAGTTCATTTTGTCATCCTAACCTGGAACAACAATTTACATATAAAAAAATATATTAGCTTCACTATACTTTTATTCAATCAAATTTGCATTTACAAATCAAGACCAACTAACTCTTCTCTTCCCCACTTGACATTAGGGTTTTACAAGTTGGACATTCTAAATGACAAGATCTTTACTCCTCTCCCCCCACTGCACCACCGTTAACTTCATACTCAAACTACTAATTATTACCTCCTTCCATTTCCCCTCCCCACTCTCCCATTCGTGATATTCCTAACAGAGATCAGTGGCAACCTGCGTCATGAAAATCACAGGTCAACAATCTGACTACAAAGACTAATATTTTGAATCTCAACCCAACCGAACCCTCCTTAAACAGTATTATTCCATGATCAACTCCACCGCTCACTCCCTCCATACCTATCACCCAACAATCCACAATGCCACTCACCACATTCAAGAACAACATCACATTCCTCGGTCTTACAGGGTAGAGAAGAAGAAGAGTATACTTAGAAACATTACAAGCATTACTTACTTGATTCTCAACCATGTGCACCACCAATCTTCTCCTCCAAGCTCTCCACGATCACTTTGTTTGTCTCAGCCTTCATTAATGAATCAGATTGACTGAGGGGCAATTTCGTCTTTTCACCAACATTTGCTATTTGCCATTTGAGACCGGGTCCCTCATGATAATTTAGCAAATTCAGGTGACCATTGAGTGATTTTGCTAATTCGAGGGTCTTTATTTGTGATTTCCCCATTAATTTACTCTAGTTATAAATTGATATACTATCTCCAGTTCTTAATATAAGAGTTTATTTGACTTTTATTTTGATCATAAACTTAAAACCCTTATTCACTTTGTCTCTTATATTTATCTATTTTTTTTAAGGTAGTCTTTGTAATCATAATAGTTCTAACCAATAAACTTAATTAGCAAGAATATTTTAGAAAAGAAAGCACATATTTATTACAAATAATTAATTTAACTAGTTTTCTTAATATAATCAAATTAGTCAGCTAACTCTTATATTAAAGATTAGAGTTGGTATAATTTAATGATACATATAAATATTTTTAAAAAAATCATATAACATATGTTATAATTAAATAATTTAATAATTTTTTTAATCTTTTTAAATTAGCTAATAAAGTAGAAATCAACGCGTCTCTGTGTACGCATGGAAGTTGACGTTTCAAAAAGGTAAATGTATAAAGATGATCATTAAGCGGGATGGGATAAATTTTTTGATACCAATTTATATCTTTCCCGGCTTTACCAAGAGCTCGTGCATCGCATGAGTTCCATCTTAATAAGCTGCATGAGTTTCCTCTTCATTGTATGAATTTATCCGAATATGATCATCCAGAGTGGTGGATAACGTTGACAAAGAAAGAAAATGAAAAAAAACAGGATAAATTAAATAATACCTCCAACTCTTAATATAAGAACTAGTTGACTAATTTGAGTAGATTAAAAAAATTAATTAAGTTAGTTATTTGTAATAGATAAATGTTTTCTTTCTTAAAATATCTTTACTAATCAAGTATATTGATTAGAACTATCATTATTATAAGAATTATTTTTAAAAAAATTAAATAAATATAAAAGACAAAATAAATTATAGTTTTATATTTAGAATCAAAATAAAAGTTAAATAAATTTTTATATTAAAAACCAGAAACAGTAACCTTTTGTAACGAATGGATTCCCGCGTCTCACTAGTACAGTCAATGCAATGGAAGGATACATCTTAAACTGAAACACATTTGATTGTCACCATTGTAATACACAACCAATCAGTTCAGTGGATTCCTCAGAGAAATGCTAACTAACTTGACGCTTACGCGGTGACTCACCAACACACACCATTGCCGTGCCTGTGATCCTTTAATTACATGTTGATATTTGGTACATTTTGTGGCTCAGGGCACCACTTTCCGGGGTATACAGGGCGATTCTTTTTGTTACTTGTATATTTATGCTTTTATTATCAACATTTTTATTTTCCTTAAAACACCTAACTACATAATGCTTGACAATATAATTCATACATTCGTCGTATATTTACTAAGCCGTCCGATATCACGCACAAATACGCACCAACGTCCCCCCCCTTGAAAAATGTTCCTTTTTCCTTGGTGAAATTCTTTTCCTGTCTCTCTCTCTCTCTCTCTGTTTTTTTATTTTTTTGAGCTAAAAGAATTGTATTAAACAAATATGTACAGGGGATTAGTGGTTCTCCTCTCTTTTCCCCTCAAACGGTTAACAGACCATTATAGTGGCAGTGCCTAGAGAAAGCAATTTACCGACATACCTTTCATTCAAGGGTTGTGCTGTCAAGTAACATTCTTTTCTAAATGATGATGCGATACAAAACACTAGATACATTTATCTACATATTTTTGTGAACCAGATTGTCCTGCGATTAGTTATCGAGGTCATATTCTACTCTATATCACATCACTCCCAATCAGCATCGAAGAAACCAGCATCTTTCATCTCAGAGTAATACATGTTCTCAAAGTGCATATCTTCCTCCTATAATTAAGACAAATTATAACGATCAGTCAGCAAAACACAAGGTTATCCATAAGACCATGACCATAAATACGACAGAAGTTTGAACATAAAATCCTTAGTCAGAGGATTAAGTGAAGGGCATTATAACCTGGAAGAAGTCTGCCAGAAATGTTATATACAGAAGAGGAAGATAAAAAGCATGGTAACAGACAACAGTGGCAATATAGAGCCTGTAAAACAAGTAAACACAGCCTTAGAAAAAGATGCCCTGGTAAAAAAACAAGGCTTTGAAATATGCCATAGAAAGACACTAACCAGAAACCAAAAGCAGCACCATTTCCCGTGAGGCCGCAAGAAAAGAGTGCAATTGCATTCAAGATGAACATGATCGTAATATACTTGTAAAATGCAGGCCTGGCTGCAGAAAGGTAGTACAATTTAGCAATCATGAAACATTATAGAAAGCACTCATATGCTGATCCACAAGGTTACTCACCAGGCAACTTTTCTCTCCACCTGGAATGGTACATAAAGAGTACGAAGCCATAAACGGCAGTGAGCAGCAGCTTGTGGAAAACCCACAAGTTCCACTTCACATGATAGCTATTTTCATTGCTGTCGATGAATAATGGGATCCCAAATCCAAACAGATATAGAGCCTAAAATATGGGCAAAACGAATCATTTATTAAATAAGGGAAACCACAATCTCTTTTCTTTTTCTGGAGAAGTAGATAGAAACGCAAAATCTTTTCACATTCATATTCACTACATAAAAATAGATTCTAGATTTACTCCTAAACGTGCACTGCTAGAAAAGAAAGTTTTCATTTTTCTCCAAGTGCTAATCACGTTTTGAGCATAATTGAAAGAACCATAAGGCGTACTATAGTGAATATCAAAGAAAAACCTTCAATGAGATATCTAAACCAACGATAAGCCCTGAGATACCAAAAGTCCGGGTCAATGCTTCTGGGTCGCTTGCTATATTTCCCTGAAGCAAAAAAGCCAACAAGCTTACTTCCAGAAACAGCATGCCAGATGTAGTAAACAATGATAGTAAGTTCCACGCCAACTCTTTCCCAGGAGTGCACTCCCACACCTGAGTCAACAAAAGAGTCATGACATTACGGATACTAGTAGACAAAAATGCTCCATTATAACAACTCTAGGTTTGCCATATGTAGGATTCACCACGATGTGTGAACTAAAAGAGTTCTCTATATCAACTTAAGTGACACCAACACTCTACAGATCATGACGGCAACAAAGAATAACTAGTACAGCTTCTTTTGACAAAGTTATATGCTAACAAGAAATTGATCAAATTGTTGAAACAACATAACAAACAATTCACCACGATAGGTACAGCAGTATTAGTGCAATCCATATAAGCATTTAGAGAATAGTTCTTTGGGAGAATGACAACTACGGACCTCACAACAGAGGATGGAACTTCTAAAAAAATTTTCTGCATTCAAATATGGCCAATTGAGTATTAAAATTTGGGAATTTAAGTTGTGATGAGGTCCTGATTTGATATTAACCTTTTTATGAGGTCTTAAATTGTCATTCTCCCTAGTTCTTTAAAATAATTTTTTGCTATGGAGGGTATGAATTTCTAAATTGCTTTCACCACTCCTATTTTAAAAAGACCAAGCAGAGAGACCAAAAATAAATAGAACGCCAGTCAAATGCCCATGCATATATTAGTGAAAAACAAGGAGAAACTTTCCACTGAGTTATTGACCGACAAACTTCTCTTATAACGGCTGCGATGGGCTAAACAAGCAACAGGGTGATGTTAGATGTTAAAGCTCATGTGCAGCATAAAAGCCCAGCAAGAAACAGATATCAGTTACATGAAAGTGTTGTCCAGATTTAAGTGAACATAACTGTGATCACCTCATATTTATTCCAGCGCAATTACACCGTAACTTGCATGGCCCAATGCTTAGAAAGGATATCAATTATTCAAGTGACCTGAACAACTCACAAGAAACCTAATAACGGACAAACCGTGCGGACAATAGATTACAAGAACGAACCTGGAGAAGACACCAAACAAGGTTGAGGACGCTAACAAGCCAAAGGCATCCATAATATGATATTATAATGTTAGAGCGACCATGTGAAAACTTCAAGAAGCTCTTCTTGGATTGGGCTGCCAAGTAAAAGACAAAAAGAAGCGAGGCGATGATCAAAGTCGCATTGTGCCAGAACCCATGACACTCGAAAAGCCACTCATAAAATCTGGAGGCGGAAGCATCCGCTTGTACTGAATTAAAATTTGGGCCCTGCCTTATCACCGTCTCTGAAAACATTTCTCTGAAAACTCGCTCCAAGATTACAAGAAAATCAGTTTGATAGAAATCACACTAGAAACCCTAAGCCGAATTAGATCGAACCAAGGTCAACGGAATTCGGGGTAAAAGATTTACGACCCGGGAAGATTAAAATACTGCTACTATAAAATCGCCCGCTTGCTCGCTCGTGTTTTATTATTTTGACCATCCTTCGGGAGCTTGGTTAATGCTACTATTTTACAACTTAATATAAAATCTGTTTAATTAATTTAATTAGGTTAAAAAAATTAAGTAAGTTAATTAATTATAAAAAATATAATATGTTTTTTCTAAAACACCATAATTATTTTTCTTGATATCTTCTCTCTTTATTCTACTTGATTATGGTTGAGAAAGTATCTATAGTGATAATTTAGGAAAAATTAATAAATATGATAAATAGGTCTTATATTTATAATCAAAATTAACTCAATAATTAGGTCCTATATTAAGAAGTATTAAGATTTAATACTCTTTCGGTAAGGACCTAGTTAATTAATTTTATTGAATTAAAAAAGTTAGATAAATTAGTTAATTATAAGAAACATGACACATTTTTCTTAAAATATCATAATCATTTTTCTTAATATCCTCCATCCTTCACTTATTTGATTATAATTGAGAGAGTATCTATAAGGGTAATTTAGAAAAAACTGATAAATAAGAGAAATATAAACCAAAATTAACTTGACAATTAGGTCTTATATTAAGGATCAGAAGAGTATAATAGTTAAATTAATTATTTATAATAAATATATATTATTTTTCCTAAAATACCTTTATTAGAACTATCATTTAATGAAACCTCTAATATGTACAAACTACAAAGACTATTTTTTTAAAAAAATAAATAAATATAAAAAGTAAAACAAATTAGAGTTTTAAAACTAAAT